GTTGTCAAGGCCTACATATTACAACTCTGAACTATATCTCTATACCATCTAAACTCCTTAGAAAGACATAATAAAATCTTTAAGATTTAAGCCCTGCCTGCCTATCTAGAGTTGAAATTCAACTCTCTGATTTTTATAATCTACTTCTGAACAAAGGTCAACTATTTGCTATTCCATCTCCTGAAATTAACATCCCTTCCTTTCAGTTTATCAAACTCCACTCATCATTCAAAATTAGCTTCAATATTATTTTCCCTGTGAAGTTCTCCTTGACTCTATTCCAATTCTCACTGACACTACCCTTTTCCCCTTGTCTAGGAAGAATTTATCATTTTGTCCACTCTACTATCACTGAATATACCATATTTCAAATACTGGATCTATCTCCTTCATAAGATCATGAGCTCTTTGAAGAAAAAAAAAATCCCACTAAAAAGATTGTACACTCTGGAGTTTGATTGTATGAATGTAAATCCTAGTTCTACCATTTCTTACTATGTTAACTTTGTCAAGTTACTTAAATTCATTGGTAAATGGGAATAGGAATAATAGTTCAACACGTTAAAATGAGAAGTAAATGAAGTAATCTATTAGTATGAAGCAGAGAGTGAATAACAGCTAGCCATTTTTATAAAGCCTGTAGAATATAACAACAGTGACCACAACTCTTTCATTAAGTGTATTCTGTATGCTCTGTGCTATGTGATTTGCATATATTATCTCTTATAAACCTAAAACAAATGTAGACATATATGATTACCCCATTTTGTAGATGAGGAAACAGTCTCTAAGCAGGTAAGCAGCTTGTCTAAGGCCTAACAGCCAACATGTGTGGAACCAGGATTTGAGCTGAGGTTTAGATGGTCCAAAACATACTGTCTCCATTTTGACATCTCCAAACAATAATTCAATACTGAAGGCAGTGTGGGTGCTCCATAAATAGTTGTTGAATTACTTAATCCATTATTACTCCATTTTTAAATTATATTAAAATATTTCTTACTGATAGAGAAAGAGGTAAACAGGGTCTCGTATTAAATTTATTCAGTAATGCTAGATGTGGATATAGAAGTTAGTGGTTTACACAGTATTTTTAGAATGAAAGTAAAATATGCATCAAAAAGAGGAGGATATTTTAAAAGATGATAAAAAACAGCAAATTTCTGCTGAAGACTGTCTCTCTCTGTTTCCGTCTCTCTCTCTCACACACACATGCACACACACATACACACATCCCCCAGATCACCAGCTGAAAGCTACTGAGTGTACAAATAGTACTTTGCATTTTATGCTAATCTTCCATCAATGCTGTTCATTGATGGAAACTATGCATTGTATCTCATACCTTATTAGCCTTTTCTATAAAATACGCTTTTCTTCATTTGAAATAAAACCCCAAACAACGTAGAGATTAATGATTAAAGTATTTTGTAAAAATAGAAATATACAATTTTTATCTCTTAAAGTCCATCATATGAACATTATTAGGGAATTAATTTAATTAACACAAACCTTATTTCTACAACTTAGATGAATTTCAGGGATACATTTGAAATGCACACATGAAATGCAATATCAGGTCATCATCTCAGGCTACATGCTCACTTAGAGTTTTCTAATGCTATGCTACAATACTCCTCTAGTTACACAGTGACATTTTAATGATTTTCAAACACTTATCTTGAAGTTCTAAAAATACCATACTCTAAGATGTGCCTTTTCTGCAAGACATGCCATCAATTAGTGAATTTTAAGGTATTTTCCCCTATTAAGAGTAGGTTAAAAAAGAAAGAAATATATATCAATTTTTTACGATCATTTTATAAAACTGCTGGCTTACAACAGTTACTTTGCCTCTACAAAAATACTACATAGTTTTGTGGGACATATATAATAAGGTAGCAACAGAAAAAGGAATATGTTCTTGATTCAATATATATTAGAAATAATACTTAATTTCAGACGAAACAACTATCATTTGAGGAAAAAAGTCATAAAGCTATAAAAAGATTTCAAAATTTCTAAATCATATTTTGCATTATATAATTAATGTTAAAAGTGTTTTGTTGATATTTTTTCTTTAAACCTTGCAAGAGATAGTCCTTATATAGTAAACGTTCCCTAAACAAAATGGGACTATTATTATTGCTCATAGTTTAATATATTTATTTAGATATAAGTGTCAAACTCATTTTTAAGACACAAACTTTGGATTAGTATAACTGTCATTGGTTCCATAGTGTCCAAATGCATGCCCTTCACCCCAAATGGCAGGTACAACCTTTCACATGCAAGCAGCTCTGCTAGTGCAACAGGCCTGGCCTCTCTCTCAGTTCTTCCCAAAGGAAGAGGAGGAATTTGATTGAGTTTGGATGGAGATATTGACATGTATGAGTGGCCGCTTCCTCTTTCCTGTCTTTAGAGAGCAGCTGCCTTTGGAGAGCACCTGTTCTGCTCTCGCCCTCCAAGCTTTCAGGTATATCTAGGGGAGCTCTGCGCTGCCCCAGTATACCTCTGCTCCCAGTATACCTTCAGGGGTAACTTTGCCTACATCTGGAACTCCCTAGGAGGAAGCCCACTTGCTGTCGATTTATGCTACATTCTTTATTATCAGTTTATGAGAAATAAAGGTGATATGTTGGTCTCCCATATGCCTTACTTATTTCCTTCTCAGCTGGTTCAGAACTTGGGTGGAGAAAAGGAGTGTTTTTATGGAGCTCTTTCAAACTCCTAATGAATAAGTATACTGACTCCCTTTATCCATTGAAGTCTTCCAAGACAGGAATTTCTCCACTGTCTACAGACATGAGGAACATAAGACAAAGATGACGAAATAAATTGTATAAAAACATTAGACATGATCCTCATGTTCAAAGCAAGGCAGGTTGATTAAACTGCTCCCTCTGAAGCAAAAAAAAATAGCCATATATTTCTTTCTAAAGATAGTTTTATATTTCTGTCTTATACATACATATGAGTGTACATAACACACACATATATATTTAATACATGAATAATAATTTTATTCAAATAATCCATACTGTGGCATAATAAGAAATATATACTCAATCTTTGTCCCCTGTTCCTGGTACGTAACTTTATAACCCTTGGAATCTCTGGAGTGATAAACTAGTCTATTATATGCTAATGAACAATTGGTGCTGGGGGCCCCTAGATAGCTTCAGCAGGGGAGCTGGTCACCAGAAAGACCAAGCCAAGACTAGAGGGTTGGAAATTTCAGCCCCACTCCCTGACCTTCTGGGGAGGGGAGAGGGGCTAGAGATTGAGGGATCACCAATGGCCAATGATTTAAGCGATCATGCCTACGTAATAAAACCTCCATAAAAACTCCTAAGCAGCAGGGTTCAGAGAGCTTCCAAGTTGGTGAACACATCGAGGTGCTGGGAGTGTGGCACACCCAGGGAGAGCATGGCAGCTCCAAGCCCCTCTTCCCCATATCTTGCACTATGCATCTCTTCCATTTGGCTGTTCCTGATTTGTATATATGGTAATAATGTTTCTCTGAGTTCTATAAGCTGTTCTAGCAAATTATCAAATCTGAAAAGGGGGGGGAAGGTTGTGGGAAACCCTAACTTTGTAGCCAAGTTGGAAAAAGGTGTGTGGGTACCCTTGGCACCCAATACTCGTGATTAGCCTCTGAAGTGAGGGTGGTCTTGTGGGACTGAGCCCTTAAACCTGTAGAGTCTGAGGCTACCTCTGGGTGGTTAGTGTTGGAATAGAATTAAACTATAAGATACCCAGTTGGTGTCCAGAGAGTTGTAGAACTGGTTGTCGGTAAGGAAAAAACCCACACATTTGGTGTCAGAAGTATTACAGTTCATATTTACCTTTTGTATTTCTATAACACCAAAGAAAACAGTAAAGACAAAAACTGCACACACTGATTTCCACACTTTCCTTTTCTCTCATTGGACAGATGTTACGCTTGCTCTAATATCCAAATAACTTTAATTGTAAAACTGATCTTCCCTTGTGTATGTAAAATAGGCCACAGTGTTTAGTCACGCAAATAGACAGGAAAGCAGTCATGTATTTGCAAACATTTCAAATGATAGAAGTTGGGGGTGGGGGCACCAAATCATGACAGTTCTCCATTTGTGTTGTCATTTCAAGAGACATATTTAAAACACTCACACACATTTTTAAAAAGAGCTGGAGTAAAGAGTCCATTTCTAAAAAGACATAGCTGTTGAAACGTCAAACAGTTGGTTCTCATAAAGAACTTACTACGTAGGAAATCCCTACAATGACAATTACTTTTTCTCTGGTCACCAAAATAGCTATTCCCACTTCTGTGTAAATGAAACAATATCAGCATTTTTTGGCGTTAATTTTCGTCAGCTTACATGCAATGCACAGAATTTCTTAATAAGCTATAAACAGAAGATATAAGGTAAGCAACATAAAGTCTTGGAAAGAATCCTTTAAAGATCACTGGAAAACTTGTTTGTGTCTTAAGACAAATTATTATATTGTTATATATTCTAATATACACATACACATTTGTTTGCAACATTCCACTCTAATGACCACTAAACTTGAGTTCTTAATTCTGTGCATAAAATGAAATTTTGCTCTTCTAAGTTTTGAGGTAATGCACTTTAGATGAAACTGAGAGATGTATTTTAATCTTATCATTTTAACTTCACTTATCGCTATCAATTCATTTTTTTCCCTAATAAAACAAGGCGATGTGAATCTTTATATTCTGATAAATTGTTTTCCCAACCTCATCCTATTTGCATAGGAATATGAACTTCTGGTTGTTGTCAAATGAGTCTTTATTATACTGACGAGAGTGTAAATTCATGTGAGTCGCTGTGATTTTGGAATAGGCACTGAATACTGACTGCTAGCAGTTATGAATATTTATCAGTTGCTGTTATTAAAAAGACAATTTTTTTTCCTACCAGAGTTTTTGAATAAACAATTTCAAAATGCTACTCCATCTGTCAATGTTTTCTGAAAACAGTACAAACCTTCTTTTTTATCTTCTGGAGTAATCTTCACTTTTGTATCTGTTATATCTTTGAAGGAGGCCAGAAAAAGTACCACGTCTCCTTTCTCATTCTTTATAGGAACAATATCCAACAGGCACCAAAATGGAGATCCTGCAACAGTAATAAAAATACAAATCAACCACTGCCTTGTATTTTTTCTACGAAAATCTCAATCATTAGTGGTACAGTTAATAAAGTCCTTACTGTTTTCTTCTATCCCACAACTCGCTCCTAAAATCTGAAAAATGTCAATTTTCAGATTCCATAAATGTCTTGCCCATATGCATATCTCTTCATTCCCAAATGAAATGCTTTCTCTGAAAATAAGGCAGTATTTTTAACAAAAACACTTGTCTGTGCTGAGACATTTCTGTTTATGTCATGCAATTTGTATTTCTTCTTTGAACTGGTTGATGTTGAAGCATTCCACTTTATGAAACAGTGCCCCTTCCCACCCCAGCACACCCTGGTTCCTAAAAAAGACCTTTGTTTGGTATGAGTTTGTTAGAGGTTTATTTAGTCAGTTTAAAAATTAATGATGGTCCACCAGAATGGCTAACATAAAAAATATGGAAAAAACCAAGTTTTGGGAAGAAGGTGTAGTCACTTGAACTCTCCTACATTGCTGGCTGGTTGCAAATTAGTACGTGTACTTTAAAAACTATTTGGCAGTATTAAGATATATTCTCACAATACAACATTATACAGCAATGAGAATGAGCGACATACAATAATTGACTATCAAATGGATGAATATCACTAACATAATGTTGAGCAAAAGTAGCCAGACACAAATGAGTAGAATGCATTTACATTAAGTAAAAAACAGGAAAAACTAATCTATGGTGTTAGAAGTCAGGTTAGTGGCTACCTTTGGGAGATTGCGAATAAAGGGGACACAGCTGCTGGGCAAGTTTTGCTTTATAATCTTTTTGTTGTTTACATAGAGTGTTCAGTTTTTGAAAATGAATCAGACTCTACACTTACGCTATGTGTATTTTTCAATATGTATGTTTTATTTCAAGAACATATTTTAAAAAGTGATAATCAAGTTCAATTCTATTTTTTGAGCAAAAGAACCACAAGAAATATCATTAATAGACTCAAGTCCAAACCTAAGGCTTATATTTTGAAATGTTTTTACATATTTTAAAATATACATTTAAAAAATATATTAAAATTCCTGTACTAGATTTCCTACTAAAAAGCATTCCTAGGCAGAAACGTTTGTAAATGACAGAAAAGTTATTGCTTTAAAACTAGACTATTGGGGGCCGGCCCCATGGCATAGTGGTTAAGTGCTCGCACTCTGCTGCAGGCAGCCCTGGTTCGGATCCCAGGTGCGCATCGATGCACCGCTTGTCAAGCCATGCTGTGGCGGTGTCCCATATAAAGTGGAGGAAGATGGGCACAAATGTTAGCCCAGGGCCAGTCTTCCTCAGCAAA